CTCTCCAGGGGGGATCTCCCCATCATTACTATCAGCCAACTGGTCTGGCATACATACATGTGTATAGACCAGAGTGTTCAATTTAAGGAACTCAGGATGGAGAAACCCCACAGAAACAGTAATGGGAGTAATGACTTCAGGAGGGTAAATTTTTAAAAATTGATAATACCAAGTGTTGACAGCAATGTAGACTAACTGGAACGCTCATACAGTACAGGGACATGCCACTTGGTACAATTACTTTGGAAAACTGGAGAACTATCAAAGCTGAGCATACCCATACCTCGTGACCCAGGAATTCCACTTCTTGTGTATGTACAGAATGGTGTCCATTTTGTGCACCAATATATGTGGATAGGACTATTCCTAGCAGCAGTGTCCACAATAAGTATAAATGGGAGACAATCTGAATGTCTATCAAAAGAAGAACAAACAATGGGATTTACGCAGTTGATAAACTCCTGCTATTTGCTCCTATGTGGATAATTCCACAATATAAAGTTGAATAAAAATCACCAGTTGCAAGAGACTGGATTGTGTGGTTTCACTGTGTGAAGTGAAAACCCACAAAACTAGTTTATAGGGTGGACATTAGGTTTGTGAGTACTATTTAGGGTAGTGAATGAGAAGGAGCCTAAGGGAGGCTCCTGGGGACTGGTGATGCTTCTTGTCTTGATCTGGGTTCCGATTGTATTGTGTGTTCACACTGAAAAAAAAGATCCAGGGGGTTGTACATTTTTCTGTATAGGTGTTAGGTTTCAACAAACAGGTTTACCAAACATTGACATTGCTGGGCCAACCCCAGCAACCAGGTTTAACTGGATTAAGCCAAGTGAGAGCAGATGGCCACCGGGACTCGGGAGCTGTCAGGGTGGGGACAGTTACCCCAAGAGAGCAAGAGGGTGTGCTGGTGGGCTATGGAAGGAGAGACAGAGAGGGTCAGGGAAGGTGCTAGGGTTTTTGACCTCAAGGCTGGAGTTGATCTCAATGCCACTGCAGAAGATAGAAGAAAGAGGAGCAGTGCTTCTTTTTGAAGCTTTTGAATTGTGACCGAGTGATGATTTACAGAGCACGTCAGCCGCTTTACAGTCAAGGATTCTTACGCAGTTTGCTTCATCTATTACGATCCATTCAGTAACATCACCCAAGCCACCTGCTCCCTGTGCTGCCTGTCTCCATGCTCCCTTCTGCCCCCGCCCTTCGGAACTTTGTCCTTGGGTACGTGCTGCCCCCTTGATCCCATAGGTCAATTATTTGAAAACGTTGACACCTCAGTGGTGTTATTGTTTCCCTTGTAGATCTGCCTGTTTGGCTGAAAACAGACTCAGGGACTTGAGTTCCATTCCAGACCTGAGGTGACCAAGGGCCATGGACTCAGGGGCTCCACCAGCCTCTAACGAGCAAGCTCAGCGCTTTCGCTATTTTGAGTTTGGTCGCACATTTGTCCTTCACTCTACCCAGGACCTCCTTCTATCGTGATCCCTTTCAGAGCCATTGGTAGTAGTAGCCAGACATCATCTAGATCTTCTGATCTCAAGGTCATGGAAACTGATGTTCACACGGTCCATTTAGTCCATTGGATGAGTTGTTTACATCACTCTTCTCTCCTCTGGACAGAGAGAGACCAGCAGCTGCCCCCGAGACGGCTGTTCACAAGCTTTTAAGACCCCAGTCGCTACTCCCCACAAGAGGATTTAGAACCATGTCTCTGTGAACTACGCTATGCACGCTCATTGATCTCGGTGTCCCCTGAGACTTTGGTCATCACTCATTTTCTCAAGGGCTGTGCTTATATTTAAGGAGTTGTTCATATTTCATTCATGGATATGGCGATAGCAAAGGTAAACATCTGGGCACAAATATGCTGTCAAATCTCTGTACACATTTCTGGGCATGCTCCCATTGTCCTTCCTACCCCCTTGAGCCTGCATGTCTATCCAGGCATCTACTTGTAGAGGAGTTATTGCAGGATTGTGTACATAACACTATCCCCTTCTGTCACCTTTAATTTCAGTGTCCTCTCTGCCTCCATCATCTTTGGGACAACCTCCCTCAGATGGTATGTTGCCTTCCTCTTCACCCAAGTTCTTGAAATTCACTTGGGCTCTCTCTAGTTGGAAGTTCTGTGACTACAGTATCACCATCCCATCTTTTTACTTTGTGATTGTTTTCATTACAAATTTATATCGCTGCTCCCTATTTTTAATGCTGTAAGTTTTTTTTTTGCTTTTTACTTTAGATTCTTCTGTTTCTGGGTTGATTCTGAGTGGCGTTGATTTCATGTTTGTTAATCTCAGGTTTTTGTCTGCTATTTTGGTCTTCTATCTGAAGAATTCCCTTTAGTATTTCTTGAAATGTTTGTCTGTTTTTTACAAATTCCTTTAATTTCTGTTTATCTCAAAATATCCTATTTTCACCATCATATTTTAAGAATAATTTTAATAGGCATATGATTCTTGGTTGGCCACTTTGTTTCTTTCAGAGTTTTATCTGTGCCATCCCCTTGCCTTCTTGACTGCTTGGTTTCTGCTAAGAAATCAGAGCTTAGTCTTATTGTAAGTGTCTTTTCATTTTTCCTGAGCTGGTCTTAGGGTTCCTTCTCTGTGTATGGTGTTTGAAAGTGTGACTCTGATGTGTTCTGGTGATTTTCCATGGAGGTTATCCTGTTTGGGATTCGGTCGGCTTCTTGGGTTTTCATCTTTCATGATGTTAGGGATGTTTTCCTCAAGCAACTCCGACAGTTTTCTCTGTGCTTTTTGGGGGGTTTCTTCCTGTTCTGGAATTCTGATCACTTGTAAGTTATTCTCTTGATGGTATCCCACATGATTATTAGGCTTTCTTTAAAAATATTTCTTCCATTCTCTTTTCTGATTGTTCCTCTAGCAAATTAGTATTGAGAGGTTTGTCTTTAAACTCCGTTGTTTGGTTTCCCTCTGATTCAATGATATTTCTTTAACTTTTCAATGTATTCATTTCTGAAACTTTCAATTAATTTTCTGGATTTCTATCTGATCGTTTTCATATGTTTTTTTTTTTCTCTTTTTTTTCCACACACACATCATCTATTTTAAAACATAGGAACACACACACACACACACACACACACACACACACATCTCCTTTGAACTTCCAATCCCGGTTTCTAATTTTCATTTATTTAGTCAGGTTGCTCTTGTAGCGTTTTCCTAAATTCTTCTAAAGTATTTTCTATGTTTTGCTTGATTTCATCTGTAGCTTTCGCAATCTTTCCCTGAACCCATTGAAACTACCTCAGAGCATTCTTTTGAATTCCTTATCGGGTAGTTCAATGCCACTTCTTCCTCAGAAAGGTGACCACTCGGTTAGTCATTCTGTCCGGTTTCTTCATCTGAACTGCAGTTGTCTTTTTTTGGTTTTCCCAACACTGCGAACGAGTCCAGGCTGACTCAGAGCGACCCCACAGGACAGGGCAGAACTGCCTCTGGGAGTTTCCAAGACTGGAGCTCTTTATGGGAGCAGAAAGCTTCATCGCTCTCCTGCAGAACGGCTGGACCCATCCTGCTGACCTTGCGGCTGGTTGCCCAACACTTCACCACTAGGCCATCAGGCCTCCCGTAGACATTGTAGTGTCATGTTCTTTATTTCACGGATAAGCGCGTGTTGGCGTGTTGTTAGGCACTCACCATCTGTTTCTTGAGACGTACGATCGAGAATGTGAGTATGTGTGATGCGTTTTGAGCCCTGTTTGTGTGACACTGTTGACGGTGGGTTTGGCTGGTGTTGGCTGCTGGCTAGTGGTGCTGACCAGATGGTAAAAGAGTACCCACTAGGTGGGACTTCAGGATGTCTTGGTGTGGTGGAACCATGTGGACATGGTTGTTTGCCCTTGTGCGGTGTGACAAGGAAAAACGAAGGCAACAGAGAGAGCGAGAGCGAGCAAAACAAACAACATTAAAAAAAAAGAAAAGCGAATGAGGAAAGCCGGGAAACAGTGGCAAGAACAAAATTAATCACTAAGGATAAAAAATGGAAAGAAAAATATAAACAAGGGAAATTTTTAAAAAGAAAGAAAAATTACAATAAACATCATCAGTCCTAGGTGGAGTTCCTTGATATAGCCAGTCTAGATATAGCCAGAGGTCAGGGAACTTGATGTGGATGTAGGTCATGTCTGCTCAGATGGTGGCTGAGGTCAGGGTGCTTGCTCCCAGAAGGAATACTTTTGGACCCAGAGGGCAGCTGGGGGCAGGGCAGTGGTAATGGTCCTTCTTGTCCTTTCTGGGGTGACCAGGGACGGAGCACTGCATCTTCGGCCGGTCTGATGAGACAGAGCTCTCATACCTGATGTGATACACCTGACACCCGAGCTATACGGGCACGCCTCTGACTTCAGGCAGAGAAGGGGCTGAACGGGGTTGGGGAGCCGGAGTGGTGAGGAGGTGTCACCACTTGCTGGGTGGAAGAGGATGGGGCTGGACAAGTTTTGCTCACCAGGGGAGGGTGGAGAACAAGGGAGGATCCCACCTTTCTTGTTGCCAGTCACCAAGGTGCCAGGTGCTTGTCTGGAGGGAATGCTGTGTGTAGCAGTTCAAAATAGCTGCACGGTGTCTGGCCAGCCAGCAATTTGCTGTCTGTTTCCTCTCCAGTTAATTTGGCTCAGCTTCTTCTCCAAATTGGCATTCAATCCACTTCTGCCTCTTTTCCTCCGAAGCTCAGGGTTCCAGGATTATCATGTGTATCTGATTCATCTGGTCTCTCGGGTCTTTGTTGAAGGTGGTCTTTGTGGCATGTCTGCCTAGTTTGCCATCTTGCTGGAAGCCCAAGAGGACTAGGTTGGAGGAAGATGGGAGATGTGGAGGCTCGGTCTTCATTTCTCTTCTCTAGCATACGGTTCAGCTCAGGTCTGGCTTTGACATCCAACATCTAGTGCAGATCAGGCTCCTGGGGCTGGAGGTGTAGGGGACAAGGGATGCCGGGGGACTTTCTGACCTCACCAGCTCCTGGCTTTTCTGGCTCTGCAGGATCGAGCTTCCAAGGACACCTGTGATGGGGACCCCAGCCACTACTACAACGAGACTCTCGGGAAGTGCTGTTACCGCTGCCCCTCCGGTGAGTGGGGGTTCGGGGGCGGGGGCAAGGGCTGGCGTTGTCTTCAAGCCACAACCTTCTGGAGAACTGGGGAGCAGGGAAGATGGGAGCCAATATCATCCTTGGCATGGCTGGATGAAAGGTTTCTGACGTCCTTCCCCAAGGTCACAGAATCTAGAAACGTGCTTTTGAATGGGTAGGGTGGGTGGAAATCAAGAGACTGGATTTGTTGTTGCCACGAGGGGCAAAGGGACATCTCGGTACACTTTGTCTTTTACTCGACAGTCCTCTCTCATTGAATTGACAGTACATAAGACCTGTGCACCCATGACATCATCGAGGGACCCTGTAGGACAGAATAGAGTTTCCCCATAGGGTTTCCTAGGCTGAACTCTTTATGTGAGCACATCCCCACGTCCTTCCTATGTGAAGCTGATAGTGAGTTTGAGCTGCCCGACTTAACCTAGCACTTGACCATTGAGCCTCCATGACTCTTGACAATGTCTCTCTGTTATTCCCATTTTGCACATGAGGACCTAGCAGGGGGCTCACAAAGGTTAAATCCCTTGTCCAAGGTCAAAGGGCTAGACAATGGAGCTAGCTGGGGAGGGAGCCCGGTCTGGGCTATCCATACCCCTGGACTGCCCTGCAGTCCTGAAAGTCCCTTAGCAGTCCTTGTCTGCTCAAGCCCAAACATGTGCTTGCCCCGGGGCCACCAGGCCTAGAGATCTTTCAAGGAGCGTCCTCCCTGCCCAGAGCTTGCTTCCTGGAGTGCTTGTCCACGCCTAGCACAGTGATCTGTTCCTGCAGGAAACACTTCCAGACCAGGGATGAACATTATTCTTCTTATTTTGACGGATGCTCAGGGTCAAGCGGGGAGGAAGTAGAACAGGGTCGTGAGGCTTTTCGATCATCGGTGGTTATTGTCACAAGTTCCAAGGCAAATCCAACCGCTTTAGCTGTGTGGGCATGCGATAGAGACACCATGGTCTCTGACTCCTGGACCAGGCAGGACCGCAGGGGAGGAAAGATGTTAGTAATGCCAGGAAAGGATGTCAGAACATCACTGTAAGCAACAGTTCACGACAATGACCACAGTGCTCGGAGGAGGGCAGGTCAGTGGGAGTGAGTGGAAGTCATCAGGAGGATGTCCTGTGCTGGGCCAGACATTAGCTCATCAAGTCCCCCAGCCATGATGTCTGGAGGTGATGGCAGGCCCATGTGACAATGAAGGCTGATGCCTGTCCTTGGTGACATGGTAGGTGTGGGACGGGGGCGGGGTGGGACCTAGTCAGCCTGATTCTAGACCTGTGGCCTTGCTGCTGTGCCACAGGGTGCAGACCAAGCCACCAAAGGGCAGAGGGAAACATTTTGGGAGGTAGTTGGATGTTTCCTATTTCTACAAACCACGAAAGTAGCTCTTGGGGGTGGGGTGTATGTGTAGAACCTTACTGGATTGTCTCACTTTTACTAAGATTTTAGTACTGATTAGATCAGGGAGGTCTCCATTCTTTTTTCCCCAGAACTTAGGACTTCCGTGATGAACTGGCTTGGCCCCTTCACCCACCCATTCACATTCTGGCCCAACCCCCTTCTTCTTCTCTGTCATTCATTCCCTCATCCAGCTCCTCTCCTTCCCCTTCCCGGTCTGACTGATCACCTCTTCATCCCATGCCTCCATCCATGCATGCATCCAACCATCCAACCATCCCTCCATTCTTTATCCATCCATCCATCCATCCATCCATCCATCCATCCATCCATCCATCCATCCATCCTTTCATCCACCAACTGTTGATTGCTAGTTCTTAAAGTGAAGCCTTATCTTCCTTGGCCTTTCTCTGGGAACTGCTGTGCTCGAACCTCCAAACCTCCTGTGCACTTCCAAGTAATGCTGGGCTTTTGTGTGTGCCTACCCTCCCCCTGTGAGATCCCTCCCACCTCTACCTGCTGAAATCTTGGCACCCTCTCTGGGTCACCTCCTTTGAAAGCCCTGTGCTGGGTGGCTTCCACACTGCTTCTCCTGGATCAGCCTCAGGGCCGATACCCTCCCCCTCTGTGGCTTTCTCTGGGACCCCCAGTCCTAGCCTTGGGAGAGAGACATTTCCTTCTCACCTTCTTCTGGCTCCTCTGAACCCAGCCCAGTGGACCATAATGGGAAGTGGAAGGGTGGGTGGGGTTACAACCCAGGTCCTGGGTCAGAGGCCCCTACTCTGAGAGGGAAGGGGGGCTCCCTTACTCCCGTGCCCCACAACAAGGTGCCAATGTCAGGGGTGTAGACCCACTGAGCACCCAGGCTGGTAAATGGGAGGGGCATTTTGCTGGAGGTTTACTGACTCTCTTCTTCCCGGCAAGGGAGAAAGGAAAACATGAAAACCCCACAAAAACCCCTCCCTCGGTCTCTGGGGGAAATTTCTGACATTTTGCCTGCCCCCTGCAATCAGCGCTCAGCTGTGCAGCTGGGTTTGCGCGGGGGCGGGTTAGCGGCCAGAGGAAGCCAGGAGACCTTTGAGATTGAGATTAGATGTCATCCAACCCCACTTCTCTCCCTAGACCAGTAACCCCCTTTCTAGCCTTCCTGACACGTGGTTCCTTGCCCTCTGCTAACCTGCCCTCCGTGACAGGGAGCTCACCGCCGCATCATTACAACCAGCACGACTCGCGCTGACTGAGTGCGTGATGTGTGCCAACCACCTCGCTGTGCCTCGGTCTGAGCTCAGTGTGTTGAGCTCTTACAGGGACCCTCGGAGGTAGGTAGGCAAGGAGCCCCGGTGGTGACATGCTTAAGAGCTCATCGGCGAGCCTGAAGGTTGGAGGTTTGTGCCCCTGCAGTGATACCATGGCAAATTAACCTGACAGTCTTCCTTTCTGACTGCCGCCCAACCCCCAGGGGGCATTTCTGCTGCATATCACACAGGGCTTCATGGGTCCACATAGACTCCCTGACAAGCCCATCTCCTCCAGCAGCAGCAGCAGCACCAGGAGATGGGTGCTGTTATTAGACTCCCTGAGCAAGTGAGGGAGAAATAGGTGGGGGTCAGTAGTAGAATTCTTGCTTTCTACTCGGGAGACCTGAGTTCAATTCCCGCCCTGTGCATCTCACGTGCAGCCACCTACCTGTCTGTCAGTGGAGGCTTGTGTGTTGCTATGACGCCGAACCCGTTTCAGTGGAGTTTCCAGATTAGGAAGGACTAGGGAGAAAGGTCTGGCAATTTCCTTCCGAAAAGCAGCTGCTGGAAACCGTATGGATCGTGACAGTTGGAGCCACATCTGATCATGGGCTCAGTGCAGCTCCAGGCGGGGACAACTGGATGGCAGCAAATACAAAGCCGGGGAAATGGGGACACAGATTTGCTCACAGCTAGGAAGTGGCTCGACTGGGGCTCGAACCTGTCTTTCCCATTCAGAAGCTTGAGCTCCTCCGCTATCCCATATGGACCCCCAGCCATGGCTACCTGGGAGGCAGCAAAGCGCACCAGGGAGGAGCTGATGTCGAGGCCACATACCTGCTTCCTCTTTCATACCACACTTCCGGGACCCCCCTTCTTTGTGCCCAGACTTGCTCCCCACAGGAGAGGGTCCCCCTCCCTCCCTGCAGACGTGGGAGACCGGCCCAGGTTGGTGGAGGTTTGTGAAGCCAGGCAGGGAGACCGTGGTCTGTTTGGGCTGGGTGGTAGCTCCACTCTGTCCCAGGGGATGAGGGTTTCTCCCAGCTCCATCACTGGGGAGGGGGGAGGCTGCACAGCTCCTTCCAGGGGCTGTCCTCAGAGCCCCGCCTGACAGAGCCTCTTTCCCTTGCCTGCTGGGGCCCCACCTTTGGTGGACTGGCTCCCCACTGCCCCTCAGGCAGGGTTTAGCTGTGGGCTCTGCTGATGGTAGTCTCCTCTTTTGGCACAGTGGGCTCCTCTGTCCCTCTAGCCCTTGACCAGGCTTGGCGGGGGCACAGTTCTTTGCCATGTCTGAGCTTCCTCAGGGCACCGGGAGGGGCACTTCTCAAGCATTCTAATTCCATCAAGCCAGGGCAAAGCCTCAGGTGGCTCAGATACATCCAGATAAGGCATTTACCCAAACCACACCAACTGAATCCAACTCGGATCAACCCTGTAGTACAGGGGAGAACTGCTCCGTAGGGTTCCTGAGACGGTGAATCCGTATGGGAGCAGCTAGCCTCATCTTTCTCCTGAGGATCAGTGGGTGGGCTTGAACCTCTGATCTTACTGTAACAGCCCAACACCTAACCCACAGTGCTATTGGGGCTCCTTGGTCTAGGGCCTTATGGTTCTCTAGTTCCTGCAGTGAAGGTCCCCGTCAGGAATAACAACCACCAAGGCTGATGTCTTGTTTGCTGTGGGCCTGGGTCTGTTGGGAGCCCTTCCCTAGAGCAATGCGCACACACTCACAGCCATCGAGTAGAGGCCGACTCAGGGTGGCCCTGTCGGATAGGGTCGAACTGCTCCTGCGAGTTTCTGATCTTGAAGCCTGATGCCACCAGGGCTCCTGGGTCCTCTGTGGGGAGCCACGTTCACAGTCCCTTTAACCCTTCCCCAATGCTACGAGGCAGGTCCAATCATTGTCTTCATAGCTCAGGGGGTGGTGCTGGGTCTTGCTTGAGGTGGCAGGTGGCAGTCCTGGAGTTCCAGCCCCAGTTCTTCACCTCCTGGCTGCCAGGTGACCCTGGGCACAGTCTGACCCCTCTGGGCACAGAGGTCTCTGTCTATAAAGCAGAGGTGTTTGAGGGTTGGTAGTGAGCTCTGGGGGTGTGGCCTGGCCTAAAGTTCCTCTGCTTCTTTTCCCAGGGCAGTCTGGACAGCAGCTATGTCCCCAGCGGTCCACTGACTGCAGAAAGCAGTGTAAGACCGACTACTACCTCAGCAAGGCCGGCCGCTGCTTAGCCTGCGTGAGATGCTTACGAGGTAAGGGGCTTGTTCCTGGCAGCATGGGAGCTTCAGAGGGGACACAGAGAGCCTGGAAGACAAAGTCCACTGGGATTTGTGCCTGTCCTGAGTGTCCTCCAGGACCCTCAGTTTATCTCTCTGGACTTGCCAATTGATCAAAGCCATCGTCTGTTTGTTGTTTTCTCCAGACTTGAATTTTTAAAAATTTTATGTACAAATAGTTGGCATCATTTCTTCTGTGGGGTAGCTGTCTTGGATAATCCATTCAAAGATCAGTTAGCCCAGCTTGATGAAGCCGGGATCCTTCGTGTACCGATGGCACCCCTGACGGCACCTACCGAGGCCGTACTTCCGGATCCGGCCGTGCCGGGAAACCTGGCTGAGCTTTCTCGGTGGCTCCAGTCGAGCTGCTGGTGACCCATCTTGTTTCTCCAAAGCAAAAGGCTTTTAAAAAAACGTTTATTGTGAATTGGGTGAAGGTTCTTAGAGCAAATCTGCTTTCCATTCCACAATGCATACATACACATTTCGTTTCATGCCAGTGATTATGATCCCCACCGTGAAACATTGCTTACCTCACTTTTCTCTTTATCACTTTCAACAAGAGTGATTCCATGTGACCAGTGTCACGATCCCATGGCTTCTATTTATTTTCACATCATAACCAGCTTTATTGCAAAAGGGCCTTGTGAACACTTATTTATCAGTTCTCTTACCTGAATAGCTAGGCAGCATGCCACTACTATGCAGAAACGTGCATTGTGAGAAGCAAGCTGTACCCACGTTTAGAGCCCGAGCAGAAGTGCCTACACCCTTGCGATCTGCGGACAGTTTTCACACTCGTTTTGGTGCAGCATATGACAAACAATTTCTTACCCAAAAAAGTCGTAATTTAAGCCAAAGTGGATTACAGAATTTACCACAACACACTGTCTTTCCTGAAAGCTCTCTCTCCGTATCCAGCGAGGCTGGTGGATGTCTTTGGGCACGATGGTGGCTCTTGGGTGTGGATGCCACATCACTTAGTTTCTTCAAATAATCCCTGCAGAGGCCATGGCTACATTCTGAAACCTCAAGTCGGTTTTTGCAGTTCTGGGCGATCACACCAACCATCTGGGAAGGCAGTGTTCACAGCAGACGCTCCATCATCGATTTCCGGTCACAGGGATTTCTTGAAGCATCATGGCTCGGGCTATCTGACTTCTTCACTCTACCACTCACGTCCGTTCCTCCTTCCCTTCCTGCTTTCTGAGCTTTGCTCTTGGACACATACTGTCCTTGTGATCATGATTGGCTGATTGCTTAAAGGAGTGGTCCCTCCTTAATGCCATTGTTCCCCTTGTCTATTGTTTGGCTGAACATTCAACCTCGGGGGCGAGTCCAATTCCAGATCTGAAGGTGGCTGAGGGTCAGCCAGAGTCTTGGAGGTTTCAGTCTCTGATCAGTAAGCCTGTTTTTCGGTTTTCCCCCTCAAGATTTTGAGTTTTGTTCCACATTTTCTCCCACGTTATCTAAGACCTTCGCGATCTCTTTCAGAGCCAGGAGTAGTGATGGCTGCACGCCCTCTGGTTCTTCTGGTCTCCGAGCCGTCGAGGCTGGTGTTTGCGTGGTCCATGAGTCCACTGGGCTCAGTGGTTCCAGGCATCACTGCATTTCTTCACTCCTCTTTGCTCCAGACTGGGAGAGACCAATCGCCGCCCCCCACATGGTCACCCACAAGTTTTTACGACCCCAGTCACTACTCACTAGAGCAGGACCGACAATATGTGTTTGTGGACAGTGTTATGCCAGTGACCTTGGTGTCTCCAAGACCCTGGTCCTGAGCCTGAAGACCCAGTGACCCATTCCCTGTTGGTGAGGTGGTGGGATTTAGCTGGTCTGCACCGGTTCAGCAGAACTCCTATCTAATTTTTTGTTGAGTTCGGCGAATTGGTTGTTAAAATGGCACTTGTAATCAGGGTTTTCTCTAAGGGTGGGCAGATGAGGAAATCACAAATCCATATTCTTTACTCTTTTTAATGTTCATCTGCATAACAGGGTATTCTAACTGCCTGGAGTAATGTCCACCCCATCCATCGTTATCAAAACATTAGATGGAGCTCTGCTGGTAATTTTTGTTTCATAAAACACGTTATACTTTTCATGAAAGACTGCATTTTGATCCCCTTACATGTTACTTCAGTAAACAAACCTATAAGGTCAAGAGATAGAGTGCCAAACCCCAGAGGGTGACACACTGTCATTCATTTCAGCTTTGTGCCACGCCTCAAATTTCCATGCGATATTGAGTGAATTAGGCAATTCCTCAAAATGTTCAAAGAGCTAAAAATATTGTCAGAACAATTGCTGTAAATTCAGCAGAAGCAGAAATGGGTTTTTCAAAGATGAACCTAATCTATCAAGAGAAGAGAGCTCACCTGTTTCTAATACATCAAACGCAATGACGATTATCTACCTCTAAAGCAGTGGTTCTCAACCTTGCTAATGCCGCGACCCTTTCATACAGTTCCTCATGTTATGGTGATCCCCAACCACAAAATTGTTTTCATTGCTACTTCATAACTTTTGCTGCTGTGATGAACCGGGTGACCCCTGTGAAAGGGCCATGCAACCCCCAAAGGAATGGGCTTCTACTCCTACAGTGAAAAGATGGTTAAGGATAAATCACACGGCTGATGATGCTTGGATAAAAGTGAAGAATATTGCAAGTGAGGATGCCAATCAAGAAGCAATATGGAAATATCTTAAATAACAGTTTTATTGCTTTTTGTCAGGGATCAGTTAATATTTTTTCATTAATAATTTTAAAACTCTTTCCTATAACATAGTCTAGTTTTGTGTACCTCTTTTATTATTCTTATCTAAGTATTAACTGTATGAAATAATAAACTACCTTTTGGCATATCTTTTTTTATACTTAAAACAGTCATGAAGACAGAGAACCTGTTAATATATTTGAATCCCACCACTGGTGATGTCAAAGCTTTCATAACTTTGTACCCTATTCCTGGATATACCATGGTCATGGCTGCATTTGTTGACATACCACATTCATGGGTATATTTGTAGCACAGGTAAATACACGTGTAGAAATAGCCTTTGTCAAACTTACAGATATATATTTGTGGATACAGTCCCACTCTTCCTCCCAAACCTGTTCAACCTGCGAATCAGGATGGTTGGAGCCCTGCGTGGAACCGTGCTCACCTCTGTTGCCTTTGACTTTTGCACTCCTCTGGGTGTCTGCCCCTGCCCCCAACGTTTTCTCCTGACCCCCCTGATTATTGCCCTCCCCTTCATCTAAGTTAGTATGCGTCTACCTGTGAGCCAGTAATCTCCTCTTCCATTCCTTCCACGCCTGGTAATCTTCAAAGAACGATTCTTTGAGGGTGAAAACCTCTCTCGATGAACAGTTATCCTTTTACGATCGATGACTGTCCTTCAGCACGTCCTCCAGGGTCACCCTATTACGAGGCGTTCCACAGACCCATGGTTGTGCTTTAACGGTGCGGAGTATATGGTGCATATGTACCGAAGTCTGTTTATTCTTTCACGGATGCTCACGTAGGTCGATTCTATCCTTTTGCTATTGTGAATAGTGCTGCTATGAACATGCTTGTGTCTGTATCTCTTCTTCTGCAGCTCTAACAGATATCATGCTGGAGAGCTATTAGGCAGACAGATTGCTGGATCATATGGCATTTTGATTTCCAACTTTTTAAGACTGCTCAGTACTGCTTCCCACGAGTTTGCACCAATTTACTCCCCCCAGCAGTGTCTGAGGGCCCTAGGCTCTCCACGTCTTTGCCAGCATTCTTATTCTCTGATTTTTCGAATGTTACTATTAAAGCTGGGGTGAGATGGTAGCTCATTGTTGTTTTGATTTGCATCTCTCTCTTAAAAAAAAAATCATCTTATTGGGGCTCGTACAGCTCTTATCACAATCCATACATCCATCCATTCTGTCAAGCTCATTTGTACATATGTTGCCATCCTCATTTTCAAAATGTTTTCTTTCTACTTGGGCCCTGATTTGCATCTCTTTAATGTCTAATGTTTTTGAGTATATCTTCGTGTTCGTTGGCCTGCCCGGATGTCTAGTGGGGTGTCTGTTCATGTCCTCTGCCCTCTTTGTCTATCTGCACCTTAGTTTGTTGATTTTCAAGACAGATGTGTTAAAATCTATCTTTCAGAATGTTTGTTCACTCCTCAAGTGTTCATTGTATTGTACCTATTATTGCTTTATCAATTTCAGTGGTGTGTTATTCAATCCGTTAATGTACATGAGTATTGTGTTTTCATGGTTTGACTTTTAATATTTACTTAGTTATTTTTAAAAATAATTTTATTGGGGCTCGTACAATTCTTATCACAATCCATACATACATCCATTGTGTCAAGCACATTTGTGTATTTTTCAAAACATTTTCTTTCTACTTAAGCCCTTGGTATCAGCTTCTCATTTTCCCCTCGCCCCCTCCCTCATGATCCCTTGATAATTTATAAATTATTATTATTTCATGTCTTACATTGACCGATGTCTCCCTTCACCCACTTTTCTTCGCCCATGGGAGGGGGGTATATGTAGATCATTATAATCGGTACCCCCTTTCTCCCCCCACCTTCCCCTTCCCCTCCTGGTATCGCTACTCTCAATATTGGTCCTGAGGGG